AGGGCCAGGTGACATCAGGGACACCGAGGGACACAGGGGCTGGCCATGTGTGGGGTCAGGCATCGCCCCTGCCACACATGCATCTCCCCCACCACGTGCCCTCAGGAGCTCCTGCCCACCCGGGGTTGCTCCGCTCTCAGCAAGGGACACGGTGACATGGTGACCCTCTGTCACCACACGTGCAGCCTCTCCCTGTGGGTCCCCTTGGAGGGGGGGGGGGGGCGGTGGTGTCACCACTGCCTCGGGTGGGGTGGCATGGAGCGGGGTGGCATCCCTGGTGGTGGCACTAACACGGTGCCAGCCCCGGTGGGTGTCCTGCCCCCGAGCCCCTCCCCCCCCCCGCAGTGTCCCCCATCACTGTGCCCTCCCGCAGGTCTGCTCCGTTTTGAGGTCCCCTCCCTCCACGTCCCCCCGGACGCTGCCCAGTGCCGGGACCCGCCGGAGGCAGCGCAGAGACTCTCGGGGCCGAGCCTGACCCCGCGGCAGGAGGAGGAGGAGGAATCAGAGAGCACAGCCCTATGACAGTGTCCCTGTCCCCAAGCTCATCCGTGCGGCACCCAGGGGCCAGCACCGGCCACCGGCACCGAGGGGCCACGGGCGCGCCAGTTTTGGGTGGCAGAGCGCCCGGTTTGGGGGCGGTCGCTGTTCTTTATTTCATTTTTTTTCGCCTTATCCAGACTTTGCCTTTCGACCGGGTGCCTGCACCCCCACCCACCCCCACCCCGCAGCACCCTCCGTCCTGGGGTGACGCCACCACCTCCTCCATGCCCCGGCGGCGGGTGCCACTGGGTACCAGCCAGGTGACAACGAGCTCGGCGCTTTGCAGTGGGATTTCGTTCCTTCGGCTTCTTCCCCCACCGCTTGTTTGCCGGAGCAGGATGGGACCTGACCAGCAATAACCTGGGCATGTGCAGGATGTGGCCCCGCCGGGCTCTCGGGGTGCTGGCGGGCGAGGGGTGCACGTCCCTTGGCACCCGCTGTCCCTGTGGGTTGGTGGCTTTGGTCGTGCATGCACAGACAAATTAACCTTTTATCCTTTCCAGAGAGAGAGAAGATTCTATATATATATATATCGGCAGAGATATATATATATTATATATTTGTATATATATATAGAGAGAAACTATAGAGAGATTTGTTTTATTTGGAGCCATTCCCGCCCAGCCGGTGCGAGAGGGAGGATGGAAATGGCAGCGCTTCGCCCCCGCCCCGCTCGCGCCGTGCCCCTCGCCCCAGGTGGGCACCCGGGGGGGCACCAGCACCCCGAAGCAATCAATAAATCCAATAAATCCGTGTGCCACTCGCTGAGAACTGCCCGGAGGCACCGCCGTTTGCTTCCTGCCCCGGCAGCACCGGGCCGGCCGTTATGGGGGAGCTGGGGGGAGGATTTGGGGTGGAGGAGGGCCGGGGGTGGGGTCAGTGCGGGATGTTCTAGTCCTGGTCCCATGGGATGGGGCAATATCAGGCATGGAGCAGTCCCAGCCTGGATTCGGAGTGGTGCCAGCATGGATTTGGGGTGGTCCTGGACTGGATTTGAGGTGATCCTACTCTGGATTTGTGCCCACTGATGAATTTAGGACATGGGCTCTTGGAAGGCACTTTGCTGTAGGAAATGGGATTTAATGAGGGTTGGGGGATAAAATTATGGGGATTTTGATTTGTGGGGGATGTCGTGGTCCTGGTTCCATGGGATGAGGCAGCGTTTAACCTGGGCTGGTCCCAGCCTGGATTCTGGGCAAGTTCCAGCCCGGCACCGGACTGGTGTCTGCTGCTGGATTTAGGACTCCAGCTGTGAGAGGCATTTTGGTGTAGGAAGGGGATTTAGTGGTTAAATAAGCCGATGGGGTTTGCTGTGTGCATGTTGTTGTGGTCCCTGTCCCACAGGATGGGGAAACACCAGGCTTGGGGTGGTCCCAGCCCAGATTCGGGGTGGTGGGTTTAGGACAGCGACTTTCAGAGGGCTGTAGGAAGTGGGGTTTAGGGTGGGTTTGGGTGATGAAACGATGGTTTGATGCTTTGTGTGGGTTATCGTGGGCCTGGTCCCATGGGATGGGGCAGCTTCAGGCTTAGGGTAGTCACTCATATTGGGGCTCCCACCCCCTCCCAGCTGCAGCTGTTGGGTGTAGGGCAGCAGGGGGTCCTGGCCATGTCACTGCCAGCACCCATGGGTGCCCCAGGGAACCTGCCATGCCCAAGGCTGCTGTGTCCCTGAGTGACAACATGGGTCAAGCAGGGTGACAACCACAGTGCGGGGCGGGATCCGGCCAGGACTGACCCCACTGAGCCCCACTCCCAGGCTGATCCCCACCCCCCCATGGGACACCCTTTTTCCCCTCGGGCACGTCCCCTGGCACGGACACCGGGCTTGTTTGACGTGTCTTTAATAGAAACCGCCGGCGGTGGGGCGGAGCCCCGCGTACAAAAGCTGGCTGGAGGAATCGCGTATTGCATAGAACCGTGGTGTGGGGGACCCGCCCACCCCCCAAAATAGTCGCCTTTTAGAAAACAAAAAGCGTCTCTGAATAAAACTCTCCGGTACAATAAATACTCTGGTGCCCTGGAGCTGGCGGAGCCGGGGAGCCTCTGCCCGCCTGCTCCCGGGATAGGGGCGTGGGGCGGTGAGCGGGCAATGCCCCCGGGTTGGAATGGCCCTGTGTGGGGATAGCCCTGGATTCAGAGCCACCGGTTTGGAATGACGCTAGTTTGGGATGTCCCCACGTCTGAAATCCCTAGGTGGGGATGGTCCCGGTTTGGAATGTCTCTGGGTCAGGATGGCCCTGGGCAGGAATGCCTTGGGTCCAGGTGCCCCATTCGGGAGCCCCCCGTGTCAGCATTCCTTGTTTGGAAGGCTCTGGTTCAAGATGCCCCCTGGCTAAGAGCCTCTGGGTCGGAATACCCTGCTCTGGGATTCCTCCCGGGTCCTCAAGATGGGATGCCCTGATTTGGGGTAGTCCCACTTTCAGATGCCCCCAGCTTGGGAGTCCCTAGTTTGTGAGAGTCCAATTTGGGACGTCCCCAGCTTGTGATGCCTCTGGATTGGGATAACCCACCTTTGGGGTACCTGACTGCCTCCAACTTGGGGATGCCCCGGTGGGGGATGTCCCCGGGTCTGGATGTTCCTGGTTCAGGATGGAAGCCTTTGTTTGGGATCCTCTGGTTCAGGCACCCCTGAACTGGGACACCTGCAGTTCGGGAGCTCCCAGTTTAGTTCGGGACCCCCTGTGTGGGTGCTGGGAGGCGATGCCCCCCCATCTGCAGCTCAGAAGCTGGACTCTGGCACGGCCGCGGGGCGCAGGGGGCCGAGGGGCTGCCGGCCCCGCTGCAGTGTGGCCCCGGGGGGACCCCGGGCGGACAGGGGGGTTCCCCCCGCGCCCCTGCCCAGCGAGGCAGATCGGCGCAGACCCCCCTCGGGTCGAGGGGGAAGGCTGGCCGAGCTCCGCGACCGCCCCAGCGCCGGAGGGCCGGGGGGGCGCCGGCCCGTGGGGACACCCGCGTCCCCCTCGGGCAGCACGATCCGGGGAGGGACCCCAACCACGGGGCTGCCCTGGCCCGGGGGGGGCCGGCGAGGGGTCCCCTCGGCGCTGGCTGCCCGGCGGAGCCGGGTGGGCCGTCGGGGACCGCGGGGGGGCCCCGGCTCGCCCTGCCCGGGGGGTCCGACTGGCGCGATCCGCACGCTGAGGCTGCGACCCTGCAGACCCCGCACCGGGGGTCGCGCCTCGAACCCGCCTGCGAGGGAACCACGGTCAGGAGGGCTCGGGAGGTCCGGGAGGCGGAGGGGCTTGCGGGGCTGAGTCTCACCGTTCTCCTGGGCGCCGGAGGAGCAAGAGGGGTCGGGGGCGGTGCCGGGATCCGTGCCGGGGTCGGTGCCGGCCAGGCGGAACAGCCAGTGCCCCGGGGGGGCGGCGGAGCCTGCGGGGAGTGGGGGGGGGGGGGGGGGGGGGGGGGGGGGGGGGGGGGGGGGGGGGGGGGCGGGGGGCCGGACCGGGGGGTCCCGCCGGGCCACAATGAGGAACCTGGGGGAACCCAGCGTGGGGAGCGGGGCGGGGGATCGGCCTGGGGGCGTTGCGTGGGCATGTAGGTGTATGTGCACATATGTGCAGATGTACGGATGTGCACACGTGTGTAGGTGTGTGCACGTGTGGGGGGGTTGTGTGCACAGGCATGTAGGT